ATAATTATAATACATAAAAATATATATTCTAATACAAAGTTTTTAAAATTGCAATTATAATAAACATAAAAACATTCAAATAGAAAGCTTATTTGAAATTGTCATTATATTATAATATATAAAAATATATACAAATAGAAAACTGTTATTTGAAATTGTAATTATAATAATATTACTGTTCTTACTGTATTTCTGATCAAATAAATGCAGCCTTGGCAAACATAAGAGACTTCTTCATTAAATCTCTTACCGACCACAAACTTTTTGTGAACCGTTTTTTGTATCATTACCATGAAATCCAGCTTTTATGGCTGTGTTTTATGTACGGTGTACCTCTGCAGGTGTGCAGTAGTGTAGTTCTCCAGGTGAACTAGTCTCTGGTTAATGAGGTCCAGCTGTGCGCGCAGGTATCTGGCTTTATCACTGTCCGTGGCGTCTTTGAGTTCGGTCTGAATGCTGTCTCTCAGGCTCTGAAACTCCACCTTCAGCGTCTGCATGTCCTTCTGAAAGACCTGCACACAAACGGCTTACCGTTAAACCGGCGGAGAAACTCTCGGAGATCGTTCGGAGCCGCTCCGGTGCATCTGTCACCTGTGTGCCGGCGATGTGACGCCCGCACTCCTCCGGCGTGTCCTCTCCTAACGTGATGAACAGGAACGTGACGAGGGACGCTTCGGCGCCGTCCAGTTTGAATCGGAGCGCGCTGAGCTCGTTCAGTAGTTTGACGCTCACGGCCGCCGCGTATTCAGATCCCTCTCCTCGAGCGGCTGCAACACACGCAACACATTCAGGACGTTAAACAGCAGATCTGCATTCTTTTTTTGACTTGTTTTCCATTACAAATATCTAAACATTCTTCATAGTGTGGCGTTAAAGGGATAGCTCACCCAAAAATGACAATTCTGAAACAAAACAAAAACTTTTATTTTGGATGCGATTAATCGCGATTAATCGTTTGACAGCACTAATTATTATTTATATTATTAATTATTCAGAATGTTATTAACTCTTTAAAAAAATATATGGTATTTTTTTTTGCCTTATGTATTTATACCATAAATGTATTTGAGAAGCAAAATTGAATATTAATATTTGCTTTAAGGGGAAAAAATCTGGAGTTTAACTTTTTATTTACATTTTTCTTTATAGCATAAACCTCACAATTTTTTTTTATTTGGCTTTAACCAACAAGAAAAATAAACCTAATTCAAGATATATTTTGTGAAAACTAATCTTAATATCTTACTTGCACTTTTTTTTATTATATTATGATATTTTACTGGAAAACAAGAGCTTAGCATTAAGATCACTTCTGGTTTTCTTGAGGTCTTTAAAAATAATAATTTAACAATTTTATTAATATTTTAAAAAAAAACACTTTATTATTATCAGGATTTTTTGCCTTATTTTCCAGAAATATCTACACATAAATGTACTTGAGAAGCAAAATTGCAAGATATTAAAATACATTTTTTTATAAAATCTGGAGTTTTTTTATAGCATAAACCTCACTATTTAAATTCAAATTTGTCTTGTTTTAAGGATGTTTAGATATTTTACTGGAAAACAAGATTGAGATATCAAAGATATTAATATTAATGAATAGATGTATTGATTTCCTTTAAAAAATATTTTTCACAAACTTTTTAATGTTAGTGTATCATGGTTTCCACAAAAAATTATATTTATATAATCTAATAATAAAAAATATATATATATATATATTACATAATACCATTATTATATTATTTACATTATATAATATTTCTATAAAATATTACATAAAATATTTTGATCAAATAAATGCAGCATTGATAAGGAAAAAAAAATCATAATTATTCTTTTAACCAGTAATATAAATATAAATAAATCTATATTTAAAAAAAAAATCTATACATTTTTGCAAGATTTATGCTTAAAACAACAACAAAAACTGTTGGTTGGATAAGAAAAATAAATGTAATTCAAGATATATTTTATTAAAACAAATCTTAATATCTAACTTGAACACTATAGCAATCAATTTGTCTTGTTTTAAGGATGTTTAGAAATGTTACAAGAAAACCAAATAAAGATATTAATATTAATATCTTAAATTTTAGGACTTAAAAATATGTCTCTGGACCCCTGAATTCTGCATTTTGTTGTGAATCTGTGCGTACACTGCAAATTTTCTTACTCAGTATTTTTGACTACATTTCCATTACAAATATCTAAACATTATTTTAAAAAACACACATTTACTTGAGAACTAAAATGACTATTATTAAGCCTGTTTTCTGAAAAACTGATCAAAATTAAGCGAGTTAACTCTCTACACACACTCTCACACACCCACACACACACACACACATACTCTCTCACACACACACACACATGCTATATTTCTTTAAATTCTATAATTCATATTCTATATCTTATAGACTACTTAAATCTGTTATTGTGCATATATCTAAAAATTCAACACTCTTGTCTTCATTAACATTATTTTCTACATGTTAGAATAATATTAAAGTGATGAAAACTATAAATGCTTAAAACAAGACAAAATCAACTTAATTCAAAGATTATTTTTCGGACCCACTTACAGATATTTTTTTCTTGTTTTAAGCATAAACTCGCTTCGTTTTTCAGAAAACGAGTTTTAATATCTTAAGTCATTTTCCTTCTCAAGAAATGCATCTTGATGTCATTTTTTGATATTCTTAATGGAAAACGAGACATAAGTACTGCGTGATGCACACTGACCGTACACAGGCAGATCCACCACCAGCTTGCTGTAGTGCTGCTGGGCTCCTGTATACTGGCTCTCCATCTGTTTGTGGTCTTCGGCCGCGAACAGCTCTGAACCCTGCGAGTGTTTCTTGAACTCCTGAAAGTGCATCTCCAGACTTCGGATGATGCTGCTGTACTCTTCTGGAGTCATTTTGGAAAGCTGCACACAAACAAAGACAAAACGCCTTAATGCAGCGCAACCAAACGTCCTTTGTTTTGCTAAACGAACAAATATACTAATGCACATTCTGTGCGCAACAGGAGTAACGTGTCTAACGTGCCTAGAGTTAATTATATGTAGATTTAATTTACAGAACATTGCTACAAAAAAAAAAAAGAAGAGTGCTTTTAGTCACTCAGGAAGCATTAAATTGACAGTAAAGGCATTTATAATACTACAAAAGACTGAACACTGTTCATCTGTGAATCGTGAAAATTAAAATGCATCATGGTTTCCACACAAATATTTAAAAAAATTCTTGAGCAGCAAATCATCACATTAGAATGATTTCTGAAGATGACACTGAAGACTGGAGTAATGATGCTGAAAATTCAGCGCTGCATCACAGAAATAAATTACATTTTAACATATATTCACATAGAAATCATTTATTTTACATTGTAATAATATTTCACAATTTTTACACATTTGTTTGTAATTACCATGTTGATGGTGAGTGAATTGATGCGGTTGATGTCCAGCACACAGTACTGCCATGAGATCATACTCTTGACATTGATGTACAGCTGATTACACACCGTTAGAATGGCCTCATAATACTGAGAGTTCCTGCCATCAAACACAAACACAGTTCAACAGTAAAAAAGGAACTAAATCATGTCTTGAATCATGTCTAACACATGCAAAAAAATAGTTATGGTTGAGGCACTATAATAATTATTAGGGCTGTCATTAACAATTATTTTGGTCATCGACTAATCGGGTGATTATTCTGACGATGAATCGAGTAATCGGGTAATTTTTTTTGTGGCAATAAAAATAGACTTTAATTTGACTTAAAATGCATATATAATAGCAATGAGGCAATCATAATTGGTTAAAAAAAATAATCATGGCTTTATTGAACAAAACCGTTCAAATATATAATGTAATAAAACAATATAATCATAACTAAAGCACATTATGTATTATATCAAATGCCTGCAGAGGGTGCAATCTAATCCTTGTTTAATATTGACTAAATAACATTTAACCGACATGAAAAAATACTGTAGTGTTTTTGAACCATACTATAGTAAAGTGTATTATACTGTATATATTATAATATTTACAACACTTTTTAATGAATGCTACAGCATACTGTTGTATTAACTAAAGTGAACTGATCAACTGTAATAAATACTATAGTTTTTACTACAGTAAACTGTAGTGTATTGTAGTATAATATAAAATATTAACATAGTACAGTATTGGGTAAAGTAATTTGTTTATGTTATATTACCACAGCAAATTCATTCAAGTACTTTACTATAGTATGGTTCAAAAAACACTATAGTATTTATTTTATAGTATTTTTTCATGTGGGAATATTTGTCCACTTCTTTATGATAGAGATGCTAAACTCATCAAAACATGCAAACTCAGAGCGAGGCTTTAAACTTTTATTTTGAAGTCGCGATGCACGGTTGGGCATATTTAGACAGATACTGATGTATTCTCCTGTGTTGGCGTAGGTTTATAAATGATTTACCTTATAAATCTGATAGAATAGTGCACATTGACTGTTTGTGTGGAGCAGCGTTTACTGTGAACGGAGCCGTAACCCACACGCATGGAAATAAAGCGCAGATTAAACACGCAGTGCATAGGTTTATTTCATTGAACCGCAGCCTTTGTGAATTCACAATAGCAGTATGATTTATTATGACTTTTAAATGTTTTTAATATTTCGTGCAGCCGTAGAAAACGGTCTAATAATGCTTTGCGTGGATTCTCGCCCGCGGAATTCCCTACTCCCGGTGTTTTGCCGGTTAATCGACACGGGCAAAATGCAATCAAGGATATTTTACAGTCGAGTACTCGAATTTAATCGAGGAATCGTGACAGCCCTAGTAATTATTATCACCTTATATTAAAGGGATAGTTCACCCAAAAATGAAAATTTCCTCATGATTTACTCACCCTCAAGCCATCCTAGGTGTATATGACTTTCTTCTATCAGACGAATCTAATCGGAGTTATATAAAAAAAAATATCCTGGCTCTTCCAAGCTTTATAATGGCAGTGAATGGGTGTTATTTTTCAATAGTCCAAAAGAAGTCCAATAAAGTGCATCCATCCATCATAAAAAGTGTCCCACACGGCTCCGGGGGGGTAAATAAAGGCCTCCTGTAGCGAATCAATGCGTTTTTGTAAGAAAAATATCCATATTTAAAACTTTATAAATCGTAATCTCTAGCTTCCGCTAATTGCCGTACGCGCGTTCTAAACATCCTTAAAACAAGACAAATTTGAATTTAAATAGTGAGGTTTATGCTATAAAAAAACTCCAGATTTTATCCCTTTAAGCAAGTATTAATATCTTGCAATTTTGCTTCTCAAGTACATTTATGTGTGGATATTTCTGGAAAATAAGGCATAAAAATCCTGATAATAATAAAGTTGTATTTTTTTTAAGAATTAATAAAATTGTTAAATTCTTTTTTTAAAAGACCTCAAGAAAACCAGAAGTGATCTTGACGCTAAGCTCTTGTTTTCTAGTAAAATATCTAAACATCCTTAAAACAAGACAAATGTACTGATAAGCTGAACTGTGCAAGTAAGATAGTAAGATTAGTTTTCACAAAATGTATCTTGAATTAGGTTTATTTTTCTTGTTGGTTAAAGCATAAATGAACGCGCGTACGACAATTAGCGAAAGCTAGAGATTATAAAGTTTTAGATAGGATATTTTTCTTACAAAAATGCATTGATTCACTTCAGGAGGCCTTTATTCAGCCCCTGGAGCCGTGTGGGACACTTTTTATGATGGATGGATGCACTTTATTGGACTTCTTTTGGACTACTGAAAAATAACACCCATTCACTGCCATTATAAAGCTTGGAAGAGCCGACTGGATTAGTCTGAAAGAAGCTACTCATATACACCTAGGATGGCTTGAGGGTGAGTAAATCATGGGGTAATTTTCATTTTTGGGTGAACTGTCCCTTTAACAGCAATATATGCACAGGTTGTGTGTGTGTGTGTGTGTGTGTGTGTGTCTTACTTGCTGGCCAGGCTGATGGCCAGTGGATTGGGTGGCGGCACTAACAGACAGACCGAAGGCACCTGCATGTCCATCCCTCCCGGTCCCGTCACCTGCCACGTGGTTCGCTCAGAGTTATCCTTCAGGATCCCTTCATCGCCCTTACGGATCGTCTTCTGCAGACGCACAGGACAACAGACACACTATGACAAAGCACTTTGAGACGTCAGCCTGGAGTGACTATGTGCCTCACTTATGAAACATGAGTGGCTTTTTCTGTGTATATTGTTTGTAAAACCATTCTTGCTTAATTGCATTAATTCAATAAAGAATTTACAGAGACATTTGTTTGGGATCATTAAGATTTTTTAAATGTTTTTGAAAGAAGTCTCTTCTGCTCTTCAATGCTGCATTTATTTGATCAAAAATAAAGTAAAAATTGTGAAATACTACAATTTGGAAAATAACTGTTTCCTATGTAAATATATAGTAAACTGTAATGTATTTCTGTGATGCGCAGCTGTATTTCCAGCATCATTCCTCCAGTCTTCAGTGTCACATGATCTTCAGAAATCAGTATAATATGCTACATTTAATTTTTCAGGATTCACAGATGAATAGAAAGTTCAAAAGAACAGCATTTATTTGAAATAGAAGTCTTACATTATAAATGTCTTTACTTTCACTTTTGGTCAGTTTAATGCATCCTTGCTAAATGCAAGTATTAATTTAATTTAATTATACACAAATTAATATAAATAGATTTTATAAATTAATAATAAAAACTATAAATACTATTATTAATTGTTATTTAATATTATTAAGTAATATGAATTACTATTATTAAAAAAACAACAACTTTTGATTAAACTTTTACAAACTTTAGAATTGTATTGCATCACAGTATCCACAAAAATACTATATATATATATATACTTATCATTAATTATATATAAATATATCTATATATATATAATTAATAAAACAAACATTTAAAAATATATTTTTATAAAAAAAAATGTATATGTATGTCTTCAGACCTCGTCCTGTCTGAAGTCACACAGCGCCTGCACGAGGATATTTTGACCCGTGATCTTCTCGTCTGGGTTTCTGGGTTTCAGTCTGACGATGCTCTTGGATTTGAGCACCAGCTGTTGCACCATCTCCCTCTGCTCCGTCAAACGCTCACGCTCTCTCTGTTACACACACACACACACACACGCTTATAAACCTGCAGCGCTCCATCAGCATTTACGCATGTTGAAACCTGAGTGAAGCGTCACCTCCAGGCCCTGCAGTAGCTCCAGTAAGTTGTGTAGAGCTGTGGATTTATCGCAGGAGAAGTTCTTGCGGATGTTGTCGTGCTCTTTCTGCAGTTTGCTGTTCATTTCGCACGCCTCTTTGAAGAACTGTGGAAAACAGACCATAAGGATGCATAAAAACTCACTCCAAAATGCATCAGAAAAGCTTCACCTGTCCATCTCACCTGGCTGTATTGTGCATTTTCCTTCAGATGGACGTTAATGCATTTGGTGATCTGAAGCAGCCAGCTCCACTGCGTCTGCAGCGTCTCCATGTAAGCCTGAAAAACACAATCAGACTGCGTGAGAAACACGACAAGACGGGCAAACACAAGACACGAGTGCTCCGAGACCAGACACGCTCACCTGGATCTTATCAGACGCCGGGTGTTTGTTTTTCAGCAGGCTGTCCACCTTCGCTTTGAGGAGGTTCAGTTGTATCTCCTTCTGCTCCAGTTCACTCATGAGTTTCTGAAACACGGGGCAGCTGTCAACAGCTAACAGGGAACCCTCGTATAACCTTTTTAATATTCGATATAGCTTCTCATAACGTTGAGAAAATGTTCTTAGAACAACATTCGCTGATGTTATTTGTACTTTATGAACGTTCTAAGAAATGTTTTTTTGTAACCTTTAAATAACATTCTAATCATGACAAGAAAACTGGACATTTTAACATTCTTAGAATTTAAAAAATAAACATTCATATATTGTTATATTTTGGGTAAAAATAAAAGTTAGTAGAATGTTCTAAGAAACATTTTTGTAACTTTTAAATACAATTTTAATCACAATAAAAACAACTGGACATTTAAATATTTATAGAATATTAAAAATAAACGGTTAAATATTTTATTTTGGGTGAAAAAGCTAATAGAATGTTGTAAGAAACTTGTCTGTAATCACATTCAGAAAATTGGGCACTTTAAATGTTTATAGAATATTAAAAATAAACATTCAAATAACGTTACATTTTTGGTAAAAATAAAGTTAGTAGAATGTTGTAAGAAACGTTTTTGTAACCTTGAAATAATATTCAAATCATGACAAGAAAAGTGGACTTTTCAACATTTTAGAATCATTTCAAAGCAATGTTCCCACAACGTTTTTATAACCTGAATTTGTCACCTGGGGAAAAATCATCACTTCAATATCTCCAAAACCTAAATTATATTCAAAAGACATGATTTTATTGACACTAGATGATTAAATCAACAGTCCACCAGAGGGCGCAAATAAATACAAACCAAACAGCACCATGTCATGTCCTTGTTTACACACAAACAAACCCGCATAAACTTAATTGCATACAATGAAAAATCTACAGATTTAACTTTTAAATAAGCTCAGGCTTATTTTCACACTGTTTTTGTTCTTTAGATGAAAATGTCCTTTAAATTTACTCAATATTTAGTCTCGTTAAATTTGACTCATTTTAACGTAATGCTAAAATAAAATAATACAACTTTATTTTACAGCATTTTTAATTCATAAAATGCAGCTCAAAGTGCTTCACAAGGCAACACGCAAACATAAAAAGGGAAATGAGAATGAGTGCAAAATTAAATAAAATATTTTAAACTTGCATTTTTGTAAAAGCCTGATCTCCTGAAATACTATTACAATGCATTCGCTACTGTAACACAATGTTCCCAGTGTGACTTACAATTCTGTCTAGTGTGTTCATTAAGTTCATTTGTGCATTTTCATTCAGTGCAGACACAAGTTGTAATATTATGTTTATGTAGTATATATGTCTTAAAGGATGCATATGCACGAGTTAATTAAACTGCTAGTGAAATGCCTCCGTTTACCAGTGTTTATTCACTCTTCAGATTCTTTAAAACACTAATGTTTTTATTGCAATCAGTGCTTGCTATGCATCTTAAATGAAAATGCATTTCTAGCTTAGAATCTGATTAAAGCTGATTTTATTATGCTGAGACCCCTAAACAGGGTTATTATCGTTAACTAAAACCATGAAAAAAACATTTTCATTTCTTGAACTGAACTTCAGCTTATTTGATTTATTTCAGCTACTTGCCAAGGCATTATGTCTCATTTTGGCGTTGATGAGCGAGTCTTACTGAGAAGCTCTCCTGTCTCTGCGGGATGTAGACGTCGATGTTTTTGTCGCCCCAGTCGCACACCAGCTCCTCCTCTTCTCGGTCGTTCACCCACATGATCTGGCTGGTGACCTCCTCGATGATGTTACGCAGGTCCTGCAGCTGGACGCTCTGCTGGTACGAGGCTTTCTGAAGATCAGCGCATGATGTTTTAATCACACATTCGGGAAATTAAAACAATCTAAGAAACATGTTATTCACGGCTTCTATAGATGTACATTTGACTGAAAGTAAGCACAACACGTGTGTTTAGCCGAACGTTTAAGTCTGGATTTGATTTGAACCGGTCTCACCAGTAGACTGTCCCATTCCTGTTCCAGTTTGTTGAGACAGGATTTGGTTACGTCTGCGTTTTGGTCTTTGCCTCGCAACTAGAGCAACAAAAAGGTGAATACATACAACAAATACTGCCATGATGCATTATATTATATCTATTATTATATGTAATATTAGATATATTACATATTGTCTATAACATACAGTATTATCTATATACTGTCTATCTATATATGTATGCATGTATGTATATATATATATATATATATATACATATAAAAAAAATAAATGTATAAAAAAATGAAATGAATGCAATACAATTATTTTAATAAACATATTTTGTTAAATAAAAAAACATTGCATAACATCTAGGACATTTTGTGCATATTGACAGTCAGGTAAAATATCATGTTTTATTTGTTTCTTTTCAAATATAAAATATGAAATATTTAATAAAAATTAATACAATTTGTAAAATTATTTCAAGAAATTAATAAAAGTATTATTTTCTTTAAAAAGAAACATTACAAACGTATTATTGTTAATAATTATTATCTTATTATCGTTTGTTTATATGAATATATATATATATATATACAGTATATACACACACACACACACACATATATATTTGTCAATATGCAAAATAAATGCTATGGTCCGACCTAAATGTAAGCTTTATTTTCTATTTGTTATATAGCGTTGTTATTTTTTTCTTTTGATTATGAGGTGAAATATGACCTAATCATGAAATAAATCTCACCATAAGCTCTAATCTTGAATTTTATATGCTTAAAAGAAAACCAGGTGCATCATAATACACAGTAGAAAAGATGGACAGTTATTAATCTGCCACAGATAAATGAGACTAATCAGACCATAAATTAGCCAGTCCAGCTCTGATATGGCAGCCAGTAATAGATGTGTGTGAGTGTGTGTTAAAGGTCACGTCTGTGTTGTTTCATTGTGTGTAACTCACCAGATCCGTCCGCGCTCGATCCACCTCCACACTTCTCTGGATGGAGCTGTGAAACGTGCTGTGATTGGCTATCTGCTGCTCGACAGCCAGCAAATCATCCCCCCACGACAACGTCTCTATCAGCCTCTGCACACACACACACTGACGCACATGCATACACACACACACACACACAGACACACAGACACACAGATTAAAACATGATGTTGCACTAGAAGCAACACTTAACTCTTAAGGCTTGTTTTGCTGCATTAAAACTATTTCGCTATTATAATGAACAAAGCCGGCTGCACTGGAAGTTTGTTGTTTTCTGCTTAGTTTGCAGTGGATTTACCACAGTATAAAAGTCCAGTGGACACAGCCAGTGTTGGGGAAAGTTACTTGCATGCATGACAATATTGCATTACTCCCTAAAAAAGTAAATAATTGCGTTACTTAGTTACTTTTTATGGGAAGTAATGCATTATGTTACTTTTCCGCTACTTTTTCTCATCTGGCCTGAGCTTGTTTCTTTGTTTCTAATATAAAAAAGTTCTATTTTTAGCAAATTTCTAACCAAAATTGAAAGGACTGAGCCTCAGGCTGAAGGAAAAGTAAGTTCACGTCTGTACAGTAGAGGGCGCAGGTCAAACAAACCTTCAGCTGTTCTGGATTGCATGAAGAATAGTACGCAGGAGAAGAAAGTACAACACTCTTCAGCAATAAAAAAAAAATGTTATGTTTATCTTAAGAAATTTTTGCTTATTTAGTATGGTTGAATTGGACCATCGAAGGTCAGCAGCAAAGATATTTGTTAATAAAATGGGATTAAATACATAAAGGATATTTGTGTTGTCTAACATATTTAATTATCACAGGTTTGCGTCATATTCTGAGTTTGTATTTCACTGTTTTTATTCATTTTGAGGAATGCTGAATGTGTTTTTGTGCGAGTGAGATGAGTAAATGCATGTTGAGATTTATTCTAGAGCTACAGTAACATCATGTTCACACAGCGCACACACAACGCCTCTGCACTCACTCCTGATTCCTCTCAACATGGCAACACGAGCAACAGGCCTTATTTGAAAAAGTAACTCGGATATGTATTACTTGGAAAAGTAATGCGCTACTTTACTAGTTACTTGAAAAAGAGTAATCTGATTATGTAACTTGCGTTACTTGTAATCCGTTACCCTCAACACTGGATGCCGCAAGCCCTAAACAAACAAACAAAAATATGTTCTAAGAACATTTTGCTAATGTTCATATTTAGTTATGAAAAAAAAATTCTGAATGTTCAAAATGGGTTTTTGTTTCGGTTGTGTGAACATTAAGGGAACATTCCATTTTAGAATTCTTGCAAACATTATGGCAATGTTAGTTATGAATGTTCTCTGAACAACAAGTGGTAACATTTAAAAAATCTTAGACAAACATCTAAGATGACTAAAACAGGAAAACAATGTATAAATACCATTTTGGTGCTAACAAGTTATGAAAAACGTTATTTCTGAATGTTCAAAATATCCCTTTTTTTTACATTTTAAACATGCTATACAGATGTTAAGGGAACGTTCCATTTTAATCATTTTGAAACAAACATAGGAACGTTACTAAATGTTCTCTGAATGTTCAAAATAAAGTGCCACATTTAAAAAATGTTTCAGAGAAACATTTCAGAAAAAATCATTCCATGAACAATGTATAAACACCGTTTTTGTGATAACATTTTGAGAACATTTAGTTATGCTTTCTGAACATTTCAAAAAAAATTTTGATTATGCAAACATTAATAGAACATTTAATTTAACATTTTTGCAAACGCTATGGGAACGTTATTTATATGTTACATTACAAACGTTATTTTTGAATGCTCTCTGAAACAATCAAAATATCCACTTTTTAAATGTTTAAAAATGTTTTCTGGTTATGCAAACGTTAGGGGAACATTCCATTTGATCATATTGCAAACATTATGGGAACGTTACTTTTGAATGTTCTCGGAATGTTCCGAAACAAGTGGCAACATTTAAAAAACATTAGATAAAACTAAAACATTTCAGAAAAAAACATTCCATGAATGATGTATAAATACTGTATGTACTTAATACTTTTGTGCAAACATTTAGCTTTTTTAAAAGTTTTTTAAATATGTTTTCTGGTGATACATTTGATCATTTTGGTAACATTACGGAAATGTTACTTTTCAACGTTCTCGGAAACAAGAAGTAGCATTTAAAAAATAAATCATTAGACAAACTAAAACATTCAGTGAATGATGTTTAAACGTTATGAATGAAGGTTCTATTAAGGTCATAATTTTGAGAGAATCTTTTCAGAGCTTTCTGAGAATATTCCCTGTTAGCTGGGAAAACACACATTGTCTCGTTCTTTTCTCCGGCCCACTCAAAGTCACTGTGCTCTTCAGCAAACGTCTGTGATTCATTAACTCTGACCTCCTGACAGGAGGGAGTGTCGAGTCGACCGTGTTATTGACCCCTGCGGGAGGCTGAGGAATTCTGGGGTTTTAGGACTCATGGGAGAGACTCAGACAGACAAACAGTAAGAGTGGCTCAGAACAGAGAGGCATGCTGGCTCTGATTCAGGTTTCTCAGTACAGAACTGTGTTCTTTGGCAGGACGCCGAGTTCATCTGCTGAGTTTTTCTTTCGTTTTCTCTCTCGCTCTCTCTGTCCTGGCAAACACTCACCCTGCGTCTTTATCTAGGCCTTACTGAACAGAGCAGCACTTATTTGTGTGCTTTTAAGTTGATGTCTATTTCTGGCAAATCAAGCTGAGATAATAATCAGAAATGTTTCTCGAGCAGCAGATCAGCATATTATACTGATTTCTGAAGATCATGTGACACTGAAGACTGGAGTAAATTCAGCTTTGATCACAGGAATAAATTACATTTTATTATATATATCTGCTATTTTAAATTGTAATAATATTTCAGAATTTTTACTGTATTTTTGATCAAATAAATGCAGCCTTGATGAGCAGAAGAGACTTCTTTTAAAAACATTAGAAAATCTTCCTGACCCAAAACATTTGAACAATAGTGTATAATTAGATTTTCTATATTTTTCATATTTCTATATTTTTAATATTTTAAATATTTTATATTTTATATATATATATATATTTATTTATTTATTTTACATTTTTCAGCATTTTGGCTTTTATTAATGACAGAAATATTGATGCTACGGCCAGCTGATATGGCAAAAAAATGATATGTATTTCAACATACTTGATGTTGATATCAACTAACCCACAAAAAGCACATTAAAGTCATCACAGTGTTTACAATGGTGCTTAATTATAATCGCCTGCAAAACCCACCAGTGCTGTTTGTCATGGAAAACTTGCATGGATAAAACACTGTGTCAGACAGAGGTCTTGACCAGAGAGGCCTGTGGTGTGAAGGCTGTTTACCCTCTGCTGTAGGATCCAGGCCATGGCCTCGGTGAAGAAGCGGTTGGGCTCTTCCCGGCTCGTGCTGCGCCGCATCGTCCTGCTGCCCCACTTCTGCTGCAGCGGAGGACCGTTCAGAGCCATGCTGAGATCTCTGATCTGCTCAGAAAATATATTCACACTGTCCACAGACAGAGAGAGAGAAGATAATGTTACAGCAGAAGTGTTCATAGACCAGAAACATACTGAATTATTATGAATTGCATATAAACTACTGTTTTCTAATGTTTCTGAAAGACATCTCTGCTGCTCACCAAGGTGCATTTATTTGATCAAAAATAGGGTTAAATTATGAAATATTATTAGAATGTAAAACAGCTGTTTTCTATGTGAATATCTGTTAAACTGTAATGTATTTCTGTGATGCGCAGCTGTATTTTCAGCATCATTACTCCAGTCTTCAGCGTCACATGATCTTCAGAAATCAGTATAATATGCTGATCTGCTGCTCGAGAAACATTTCTGATTATCATCAATGTTGAAAACAGTCGTGCTGCACAATATTTGTGTGGATACTGTGATGCTTTTAATTTTTCAGGATTCACAGATGAACAGAAAGTTCAAAAGAACAGCATTAATTTGAAATAGAATCTTTTGTAACATTATAAATGTCTTTACTGTCACTTTTGACCAATTTAATGCGTCCTTGATTAATAAAATTATAAATTTATTTAAAAGTAAAAAATTTGTACTGACCCCAAATGTTCGAATCATGATGTATCACAGTTTCCATAAAAATATTGTGCAGCACAACTGTTTTTAACATTGATAATAATCAGAAATGTGTCTTGAGCAGCAAATCAGCATATTAGCATGATTTCTGAAGATCATGTGACACTGAAGACTGGAAATTCAGCTTATAAATGACATTTTACTATGTATTACAATAGAAAACATCTATTTTAAATTGTAATAATATTTCACCATTTTTCACTGTATTTTTGATCAAATAAATGCAGCCTTGGTGAGCAGAAGAGACTCTTTCAAAAACATAAAAAACCTTAATGATTTCAAACATTTGTCCAGTGGTGTGTAAATGAATGGCAGGTAATGCCTGATGTGTCTCACCTCTGCATCACGCTCTCAGACGGCAGTCTCTGCTGTTTCAGGTCTATAGCAAAGCCTCTGAGCTGGTCAGTGATATCAGCAGCAGACGCCAGACAGTTTTGAGCTGCGTTGGCATCTCCACCCTGCAGCACACACACACACACACATGGCCGGGAACAATAGAAAACCACCGTCAGAAAAGCCCAGGATCAATGAATGCAAACACTCAGCCGTGTCAGAGCAGCTCAGTGTGTGAGTTTATGCATTTTGGACTCCAGAACAAACACTCTGTGTTCAGACCTCAATAGCAAATTAATTTAGTTTAGCATGCTTGACCGTCTGAACGACGTGTTTGTACATCAGAAATCAATGCTACTTCAATAACAAATCTGTTGCATGAAACCTGATTGAAATAATAGCACAGCAATACAGACAACACTGATGAAATTAACAATGCATAGAGAGGAGATACAGTTCAATGTACAGGAATATACGCATGGATAACTGCGACAAACTAAACACCTAGATTCGAAAAGATTATTGTGTGCAAAATGCATCATACGGTGTTTGAACAGTGTTTGTTTATTCTCCTTCATGTCAATCCAAACCTGTGTGACTTTCTTTCTTATGAGTAACACAAAATGTGAAAAATCTTCATGCTGCTCTTTTTATATACAACCATGGCATACAACTTAGTATTTTTACTTGACAAGCAAAATAACTTAATATATTAAGTTTTGTTTTCCTAAAAATGTATCAAAATGAAGTGAGTTTACGCTTAAAACAAGAAAAATATCTGCCAATGGAGTCAGAAAAAATAAACTTAATTCCAAGGCACAAAAGATTAGTGGACTGATTTTTTCTTTAGCATTTTTATCAGAAAACAAGACTTTATATCTTAAATTATTTAGCTTCTCCACTAAACGCATCCCGATTTAAGAGTGTTTAGATAATTGTAATGGAAAAGTCGAAAACAAAAGATAAAATAAGACAAAAATATTAAGAAAGAAATAATTTTTTGCAGAGATGAAAGCAAAAGGTGACCACAGCCAGATTTTGAGTGAAAAACTGATTATAGTGATATTTAAATTATTATAATAATTACATATAAAAACCTGAAATATAGTGCACAGGGCTATTTATGGTGCTTTCGTTGTACTTTTTGTGTGTGTGTGTGTGTGTGTGTGTGTGTGTGTGTGTG